TGTCGTGACGCTTTGCCGTTTGTAGTGTGAACGCAGCTTAAGGATCCCTCGCCTTCACCACCAGCGGCTATTGCCTTCGCTCCTCCTCGATCCATCAACCTGTCGCCGTCGCCTTGGCTCCTCTCACCCTTGACTCCACCTGAGATCCTCCTCCCTCTGGCTCCACCTCGGTCAGCCGTCACCATGCCTGCGCTGCAGACTTACGAGCCATTCGCGGCGCTCTGACTCTCCACCCCTTTGGGTCCAGCGAGCTCTGCCCTCCCTCCGGCTGCACCTGTGTCCTCTGTTGGACCGGCTCCGCCTCAGTCCTCGGATGCTCCAGTTACACCTCGAGCGCTCGTCACCGCACCCTCGCCTTGGTCTCCGGAGCCAGCGGTGTCACTCAAGCTCATCAGCTCTCCGTCTACGATCCCCTAACATCGGCTCCGTCTCCATTGGCTGCCTCGCGGATGTCGCCTGCCATGTCAACACCTTGGCACCTCCCTCCATCGACTCTGCCATGGGCTGTCGTTCTAACTCGGTCTGCAACATCTGGCCACTCCTCCCATGACCAACTTGGATGGTCCCACCATCTGCTCCTCCGTGGGTTCTCTGCCATTCTATCTGCCTGTTATTACCAGTCCTCCACCTACTCCTCTTCACCTGTCCTTCGCCTACTCCTCTTCACCCGTCCTTCGCCTTCGCCTACTCCTCTTCACCCGTCCTTCACCTACTGCTCTTCACCCGTCCTTCGCCTACTGCTCTTCACCCGTCCTTTGCCTACTCCTCTTCACCCGTCCTTCACCTACTGCTCTTCACCCGTCCTTCACCTACTCCTCTTCACCCGTCCTTCGCCTACTCCTCTTCACCCGTCCTTCACCTACTGCTCTTCACCCGTCCTTCGCCTACTCCACTTCACCCGTCCTTCACCTACTGCTCTTCACCCGTCCTTCGCCTACTGCTCTTCCCCCGTCCTTCGCCTACTCCTCTTCACCCGTCCTTCGCCTACTGCTCTTCACCCATCCTTCGCCTACTCCACTTCACCCGTCCTTCACCTACTGCTCTTCACCCTTCCTTCGCCTACTCCTCTTCACCCGTCCTTCGCCTACTGCTCTTCACCCGTCCTTCGCCTACTCCACTTGACCCGTCCTTCACCTACTGCTCTTCACCCTTCCTTCGCCTACTCCTCTTCACCAGTCCTTCGCCTACTGCTCTTCACCCTTCCTTCGCCTACTCCACTTCACCCGTCCTTCGCCTACTGCTCTTCACCCTTCCTTCGCCTACTCCTCTTCACCCGTCCTTCGCCTACTGCTCTTCACCCATCCTTCGCCTACTCCACTTCACCCGTCCTTCACCTACTGCTCTTCACCAGTCCTTTGCCTACTCCTCTTCACCCGTCCTTCGCCTACTGCTCTTCACCCTTCCTTTGCCTACTCCTCTTCACCAGTCCTTCGCCTACTGCTCTTCACCCGTCCTTCGCCTACTGCTCTTCACCCTTCCTTCGCCTACTCCTCTTCACCAGTCCTTCGCCTACTGCTCTTCACCCATCCTTCGCCTACTGCTCTTCACCCTTCCTTCGCCTACTGCTCTTCACCCGTCCTTCGCCTACTGCTCTTCACCCTTCCTTCGCCTACTCATCTTCACCAGTCCTTCGCCTACTGCTCTTCACCCGTCCTTCGCCTACTGCTCTTCACCCGTCATTCGCCTACTCCTCTTCACCAGTCCTTCGCCTACTGCTCTTCACCCGTCCTTCGCCTACTGCTCTTCACCCTTCCTTCGCCTACTCATCTTCACCAGTCCTTCGCCTACTGCTCTTCACCAGTCCTTCGCCTACTGCTCTTCAACCGTCCTTCGCCTACTCCTCTTCACCCGTCCTTCGCCTACTGCTCTTCACCCTTCCTTCGCCTACTCCTCTTCACCAGTCCTTCGCCTACTCCTCTTCACCCGTCCTTCGCCTACTGCTCTTCACCCTTCCTTCGCCTACTCCTCTTCACCAGTCCTTCGCCTACTGCTCTTCACCCGTCCTTCGCCTACTGCGCTTCACCAGTCATTCGCCTACTGCTCTTCACCAGTCCTTCGCCTACTGCTCTTCACCCGTCCTTCGCCTACTCCTCTTCACCAGTCCTTTGCCTACTGCTCTTCACCCGTCCTTCGCCTACTGCTCTTCACCCTTCCTTCGCCTACTCATCTTCACCAGTCCTTCACCTACTGCTCTTCACCCGTCCTTCACCTACTGCTCTTCACCCTTCCTTTGCCTACTCCTCTTCACCTGTCCTTCGCCTTCACCTACTCCTCTTCACCCGTCCTTCGCCTACTCCTCTTCACCCGTCCTTCGCCTACTCCTCTTCACCCGTCCTTCACCTACTGCTCTTCACCAGTCCTTCGCCTACTCCACTTCACCCGTCCTTCACCTACTGCTCTTCACCCGTATTTCGCCTACTCCTCTTCACCCGTCCTTCGCCTACTCCTCTTCACCCGTACTTCGCCTACTCCTCTTCACCCGTCCTTCGCCTACTTCTCTTCACCAGTCTTTCGCCTACTCCTCTTCACCAGTCCTTCGCTTACTCCTCTTCACCAGTCCTTCGCCTACTCCTCTTCACCCGTCCTTCGCCTACTCTTCACCAGTCCTTCGCTTACTCCTCTTCACCCGTCCTTCCCCTACTCCTCTTCACCCGTCCTTCGCCTACTCCTCTTCACCAGTCCTTCGCTTACTCCTCTTCACCAGTCCTTCGCCTACTCCTATTCACCCGTCCTTCGCCTACTCCTCTTCATCCGTCTTTCGCCTACTCCTCATCACCAGTCCTTCGCCTACTCCTCTTCATCCGTCCTTCGCCTACTCCTCTTCACCAGTCTTTCGCCTACTCCTCTTCACCCGTCCTTCGCCTACTCTTCACCAGTCCTTCGCTTACTCCTCTTCACCCGTCCTTCCCCTACTCCTCTTCACCCGTCCTTCGCCTACTCCTCTTCACCAGTCCTTCGCTTACTCCTCTTCACCAGTCCTTCGCCTACTCCTATTCACCCGTCCTTCGCCTACTCCTCTTCACCCGTCTTTCGCCTACTCCTCATCACCAGTCCTTCGCCTACTCCTCTTCATCCGTCCTTCGCCTACTTCTCTTCACCAGTCCTTCGCCTACTCCTCTTCACCAGTCCTTCGCCTACTCCTCTTCACCAGTCCTTTGCCTACTCCTCTTCACCCGTCCTTCGCCTACTCTTTACCAGTCCTTCGCTTACTCCTCTTCACCCGTCCTTCCCCTACTCCTCTTCACCCGTCCTTCGCCTACTCCTCTTCACCAGTCCTTCGCTTACTCCTCTTCACCAGTCCTTCGCCTACTCCTATTCACCCATCCTTCGCCTACTCCTCTTCACCCGTCTTTCGCCTACTCCTCATCACCAGTCCTTCGCCTACTCCTCTTCATCCGTCCTTCGCCTACTCCTCTTCACCAGTCCTTCCCCTACTCCTCTTCACCCGTCCTTCGCCTACTCCTCTTCACCAGTCCTTCCCCTACTCCTCTTCATCCGTCCTTCGCCTACTCCTCTTCACCAGTCCTTCCCCTACTCCTCTTCACCCGTCCTTCGCCTACTCCTCTTCACCAGTCCTTCGCTTACTCCTCTTCACCAGTCCTTCGCCTACTCCTATTCACCCGTCCTTCGCCTACTCCTCTTCACCCGTCTTTCGCCTACTCCTCATCACCAGTCCTTCGCCTACTCCTCTTCACCCATCCTTTGCCTACTTCTTTTCACCCATCCTTCATCTACTCCTCTTCACCAGTCCTTCGCCTACCCCTCTTCACCAGTCCTTCGCCTACTCATCTTCACCCGTCCTTCGCCTACTCTTCTTCACCAGTCCTTCGCTTACTCCGCGTCCTCTAAAGCCACCTCCCTCCCTCATCTCCTGTTGGTCTGTTTTGGTTTCGGTGCAAGGTCGCACCTTCTGGGGAGGGGCGTTATGTCACAGAGTCACAGACACTCATTCTTAGTGTCATTATCATGGACTTTTAGTTTGTTTTAACCAGTTTCCTGTTAGTTTTCAGTTCAGCTGTGTGTCATACCCACATTTGCCTTGCTATTTAAGTAGCTGTGTTTGTATCACTTATTGTTTCCACATAGCGTTTGGTTTTGTTTGCTCATCTTGTTTTGTATTGCCTTCTGAGGGGATTTTTAAAGAAGTTATACCTAATCTTCATCTTCATTGTGTGTTCCTTGCAACTGTTGGTGACAATATTAGACTAGTATGTTGATAAATTATATTTTATGGTCTGTGATAGCGGCTATTGTGTTATTGAAATTCTTTGAAATTCTTCAATAATTTTGCAAAACTGCTTTTATCTCATTTCATTGTCTAAATGACCCCATGGGAGTATTCAAGCCTCACTGAGTGACTAATCTTCCACTGAAATGATTCAAAATCACTGAAAAGTGACACATGCAGTCTATATATGTAACATGTTTAATACATCCTTGCGAATTGGAAAAAAAGTCTATGACTTGCAAATATTTATTTGGTTTATTAGAGAACAATACACATTTTCCATATCCTAATTCAGTGACCTTTAGAACGTTATTTCGAAAAAAGGAAACAGGAAACCAAATTTGGGTGTGTAGGTTTTCATGTATTTGCACGTTTGCATGTTTCGCTAATCTCTCTCCTATAGTCTGTTGAATGACATCAATGGCTTTTTAAATGTGATTTAATCCAGAATCCCGTGCTCGATCTACAGGGCCAGATTAACACGGGGGGACCAAACTCTCCCACCGTCACACAAGTTTCTGTTACATTAATAATTTCTTCAAGCTCCCTTCACTCCACCTCCAACACAGATAAACAAACACACTTTTTAGGGTGGAAGCATCAGACATGAAAAGTGTGAGGGAGTGAAATGTTCACAACAGACAGAATGCTTGATAGGACACTTTTGGTCTCCCAGTTTGTCTTCTTTGGCTTTTTACCTTTTTTTCTGTGGTGGGAGGAGAGAGATTGTGACAGTATTGTTTCTACACCATGCGACTTTGTGTTTTATCAGGAGAACAGTATGGACCGTTCAGAAATCAGAGGGCTAAGGCATATGTGAAGATGACCTTAAAATCAGCCAAAAGTAAGTACATAATTAGTTGGTCGGTGTCAGGCAGGGAAGATGACACTTAATCTAGAACGTTTTATACATACTTTCTATGTAATCTCATATTAATTGATAGATTAAATGAAAAAGCTAACTTTTTGTGCCAAAAGAGCTACAGATAGAATAAAAATGGACCACAATCAAATATTAGGAGCACAGTTTAAGTTTTCTTTAGAAACCATAATGTTAATGTGCCACAATATAATATTCAAATGTAGGCACAAGAAAACATAGTGTGAGTCTAGTCTGTTGTTTTATGGAAATTATTCTAGATGACTAACAATGATGATAATAATAGTAATAATAATTATTATATATATATATACTGTATATATATAAAAAAAAATGTTAGTGTCCAAAAGTGATGTCCGGTGGGGATATTTGTTTTTATGGCCCTACATTTTCAAATAAACACTCAAAAAATTTTAAATATAAGGGGGAAATAGAAAACACTGAACTTGGTTAAGGTCTTTCTCTGACCAAATTATTTGGCAAAATAATTAATAAATAATACTATGACCTTACCCAAGATTAGTGTTTTGTTCTTCCCTCATATTTAACATGTTCAAAACTATACAATGAAAATGCTATTAAATGCAGGGTTTAGCAGTTTAGAACAAATCTTACAATATATGTATTTTAATTGATTAGCTGTCTCTCTTTCTCGTTCTATTCTAGCATGGTTTTTTAGACTCCTCCCGGTTGTGCTGTTCTTCATCTGTTACTATTGCTCCCAGTTCTACTTAGAGAGGTTAGTACTGTCACCTGCTCTACATATCAAATCCTTTGTTGTCTTTGGTTGTTATTATGGTACAGAAGGCTTTTTTATTTTCTCAGGCTGAAACATGCAGAAGCTTTTAAGGTGTTTGTATGCAAACTTTAACTACTGAAACTATCTTTCTGTCTTTAAGCTATGGAGGCAGCGGAAAGTCCCCTGAGCCTACTGTCTCACTGTGCCACAACTATCGCTTGCAGAGGAAGTGGGAGAGTCTTAAATTTAAGTATGTGACCTGTGAATTGTGTTGTGGAAACTAATTTGAATCTGTATGTTTACCGAGCTTGAAAATTGAATGTGAAAATTCTGTCATCATTTACTGACCCTCTTGTTCTTCCAAACCTGTAGGATTTTCTTTCTTCTGTGGAACATAACATAAGATGACATACATTATGAGTAATGTAAAACATTTTTTTTTGTCCATACAATGAAAGTCAATAGTAGCCAAAACTTATGTTACAGAAATTTTTGAAAAGAGCATGAAAGAAAGTAAATGATGAAAGAATTTACATTTTTTGTTTTTTATCTGACACAAAACTTTCTTTCTTTCTTTCTTTCTTTCTTTCTTTCTTTCTTTCTTTCTTTCTTTCTTTCTTTCTTTCTTTCTTTCTTTCTTTCTTTCTTTCTTTCTTCAGAAATTGTCCCCACAATGTCAAAAAATCTATGACTGTAAGCGTTACTAGAAAATCTTACGTTAAAAAAACACACAAAAAAACACTTTTATATACAGTATATATATATATATATATATATATATATAACAGGAAAACATCTTATAACTATAGAATAAATGTATTATTAATATTGTCATAACATTTTTTGACCATCTTATCAGATAGCAGTAATCTCGACCAATTACTTGATAAATTCATAATGTTTCAACTTATAGAAGTGTATATTTTTACTGTAGAGAGGCTCCATAATTTAAAACACCCAAAGAAATGTATAAATATATTGTTACTACTTTGGGGAAATTTGTGTTATTTAATTTATTTAGAAGTAATAAAAAGTTACACTGTCAAAAAGGACTGTGGACAGCCTAGGGTTGACCCTTTTTCACTTAGGAGGCTTAGGAAAAGCTTATGAGGGTTAAGTAGTATTTGAACAGAATTATCACAAAGTGTGTTTTCTCTATTGTAGCATCATCAGTGTTATTAGTTTACACAGCTGGCCATTCCCTCTATGATCTGAGCATGTAGAGCCTTTTCATTCCCCATCTGGAGTTTCATCTTTTGCATTTAGCTGTTTGTTTATTCATTCACCAGAACAATAGAGATTTTGCTGCAAACATTGTAATCTTCTTTAACAACATACTCAACATGGTTAATGTCAGGTACTGTATATTTAAGGATTTACCAATCATCCCTGATTCATGTTGCTGTCAGATCTAGAAAGTCTAAAATTTTAGTATCAAAGCAAATATCATTCCCTAATGGTTTAAATCCATCTTTGATTGAATTAAATTAAATCCAATTTGATTGGCTGCTGGTGGCTTTGTTTTTTGAAGTAGTAGAGGATATGTCAGGACGTCCTCCAAAGAAGATACACACCACTTTTCAACTTCATGAATCATACGGTTTGTGGAGTTACAGTGTTTTTTCAAGTGTAGTTGCAGCTTTTTATAATGTTTGCCATTCATACTCCTATCTCGTCTAACTGCCATCAGTATTACTGTTACTCTTAGTTTGGTGGCCTACCCACTTAAGCCCTTAATCGCTTAAAAACAGTATTTGGCTGAAAGGTTGTGTTTTATCAGATTTGTGTATCATCAGAGTAACGATGGAAATTAAGACCATAACCACTGGATGATCTGACCAAGAGGAAGCATATAGATTAGAAATAAAAGTGAACCAAGAATGGATCCTTGAGGTATACCACGGAAAACTGTAACAGAGCAAGATTTGTGTTTATTAAAGGGTTAGTTCACCCCAAAATGAAAATTCTGTCAGTAATTTCTCTCCCCATGTTGTTCCAACCCCGTAAGACAAAAAGATCGTCAGATATTTTTGATTAAATCTGAGAGCTGGATCACTTCTAAGGCTTCTAAGGGATCGAAACTTGCTGGCCCTGAAAAGTTATTACAGTTTTTCTCAAATGCTAAAACACATTTCACAAACGTTTCCTCCATGTTCCCCAATGTCTAAACACAACACCCTTTTCTAAAGCTACATAAACACAACCACACCTTCTCACTTCAAAACTCAAACTTTCACACCAAAAGAGCAGCTCGAAGCTTTCAAAAATGTAAATACTATACACATCATTACACACTACAGCAAAACAATTGAAAACACAATGTTCAATTTGTGAGAAGGTTCTTTGTTTCATAACTGCCAATGCATATTTTTGGAAACTTTACAGTAATGGATCTTCTTAGATCTCTGCAGAGGATTAGGCATTTAGATTTGTGAGTTTCATATGAAGAGTATAAATCTATAGTAAATTCTGCATGTACACTACTGTAACACAACTCAATGCAAAAACAGAATCTATTGCACACAACAGTACTCTTGAAAACATGATCAGGGTGTGAAGTTTTTTTATTTACTTTATTCACACCACACACACACCACAATCACTGTGCGGCATCATGTCGCTGAGCTGCATCGGGCCACATCACCTCATCCACATCGCAGGCTATATTGTCTCTTGCCAGGCACCGCAGGAAAAACGCCCTGGAATGGCGAATCCATCCTTGGAAGGCCTCCACTGGGATGTCAACACAGGCCAGCTCCATTGCCCTTAGGAAGTTCTCTCTAGTGAATGGTTGTCTGTCATAAACCCTCCATCTCCACGATGAGAAGAACTCCTCTATAGGGTTCAGGAAAGGGGAGTAGGGTGGCAGACAGACTTTTAAAAAGTGGTTACTGTTGGTGGTGAACCACTCTCTGATTTGGTTTGTTCTGTGGAAGCGTACATTTTCCCAAATGATCACATAAATGTGATGTGCGGGCCCAGGATGGTGTTGTTGGCGGTCCAGGAGGATGTCTTTTAGCTCCTCTAGGAAGGTGAGGAGACGTTGGGTGTTGTAAGACCCAAGGACAGCATGCCTCTCCAAACCCATGGCCGCACAAGGACAAGCCCCTCCAAGGCCAAGGACAAGCCCCTCCAAACCCATTTCACAAAATGTGAAAGTGCACAGGTGTTCAGAACAACAGTCAATCAGGTAGCACAGTATTGTCCAGAAGTAATGTAGGCCACTGAGCAACACAGAATGTCCACTAACTGTACTGTGAACATGGATGTATACTTACTTGCACATACTCGTAACGTAGGTCTTTGTGTCGCGCAGAGTTGCGCTCAAAGGGAACCCTATAGACCTGTTTCATCCGCATCTTTTGGCGCCGGAGAACTCGGTCTATTGTGGCCAAGCTGACATCATCAATCCTCTCAAAGTTGACATTATCGACAATGACTTTGTCTCTGATCTCCCGGAGTCTGATGAGGTTGTTCTCACGAACCATATCCACAATGAGGGTTTCTTGTGCCGCTGTAAATATGGCAACCCTCCCACCTCTATGTGGCATTCTTTCAACTCTAAAGAAAGAAACATGTGTAGTCAATTGACATGTTTTACAATACAGTAACAACTGATTTGAAACCAATAGACTACTTTCACAGGCTTGTAAAATTGTATTGTGACAAAGAAAGCAATAGAGTACAATACCTGTTGTGTTGTCTGAATGCCCTGATAATGGTGGCCACGGTGAACCTACTCAGGTTTGGACGGACTCTTAGTCCTGCTTCAGCCATTGTCATACCATGGACAATGACATGGTCAATGACTGCTGCTCGCATCTCGTCCGTAATGATGGTGCGAGGTTGTCTTGCTCTCCCTCCTGGACCTCCTCCTCTCCCTTGTTGCCCCCCCCTCCCCCCTCCCCCCTCCCTCCTCCCTCCTCCCTCCCTCCTTCCTCCTCCCTCCTCCCTCGTTGGCCTCCTCCTCTCCCTCGTTGGCCTCCTCCTCTCCCTCGTTGGCCTCCTCTTCTCCCTCGTTGGCCTCCTCCTCTCCCTCGTTGGCCTCCTCCTCTCCCTTGTTGCCCCCCCCCCTCCCCCTTCCCTCGTTGGCCTCCTCCTCTCCCTTGTTGCCCCCCCCCCCCTTCCCTCGTTGGCCTCCTCCTCTCCCTTGTTGCCCCCCCCCCCTCCCCCTTCCCTCGTTGGCCTCCTCCTCTCCCTTGTTGCCCCCCCCCCTTCCCTCGTTGGCCTCCTCCTCTCCCTTGTTGGCCTCCTCCTCTCCCTTGTTGCCCCCACCCCTTCCCTCGTTGGCCTCCTCCTCTCCCTCGTTGGCCTCCTCCTCTCCCTCTTTGGCCTCCTCCTCTCCCTTGTTGCCCCCACCCCCTCCCCCTTCCCTCGTTGGCCTCCTCCTCTCCCTTGTTGCCCCCCCCCCCTCCCCCTTCCCTCGTTGGCCTCCTCCTCTCCCTTGTTGCCCCCCACCCCTTCCCTCGTTGGCCTCCTCCTCTCCCTTGTTGGCCTCCTCCTCTCCCTTGTTGCCCCCACCCCTTCCCTCGTTGGCCTCCTCCTCTCCCTCGTTGGCCTCCTCCTCTCCCTCTTTGGCCTCCTCCTCTCCCTTGTTGCCCCCACCCCTTCCCTCGTTGGCCTCCTCCTCTCCCTCGTTGGCCTCCTCCTCTCCCTCTTTGGCCTCCTCCTCTCCCTTGTTGCCCCCACCCCCTCCCCCTTCCCTCGTTGGCCTCCTCCTCTCCCTTGTTGCCCCCCCCCCCTCCCCCTTCCCTCGTTGGCCTCCTCCTCTCCCTTGTTGCCCCCCCCCCCTTCCCTCGTTGGCCTCCTCCTCTCCCTTGTTGGCCTCCTCCTCTCCCTTGTTGCCCCCACCCCTTCCCTCGTTGGCCTCCTCCTCTCCCTCGTTGGCCTCCTCCTCTCCCTCTTTGGCCTCCTCCTCTCCCTTGTTGCCCCCACCCCCTCCCCCTTCCCTCGTTGGCCTCCTCCTCTCCCTTGTTGCCCCCCCCCCCTCCCCCTTCCCTCGTTGGCCTCCTCCTCTCCCTTGTTGCCCCCCACCCCTTCCCTCGTTGGCCTCCTCCTCTCCCTTGTTGGCCTCCTCCTCTCCCTTGTTGCCCCCACCCCTTCCCTCGTTGGCCTCCTCCTCTCCCTCGTTGGCCTCCTCCTCTCCCTCTTTGGCCTCCTCCTCTCCCTTGTTGCCCCCACCCCTTCCCTCGTTGGCCTCCTCCTCTCCCTCGTTGGCCTCCTCCTCTCCCTCTTTGGCCTCCTCCTCTCCCTTGTCCCTGAGAGTTTGCTTGTACTACTTAAGTTCAAACCATCTACTGTTGATGGTAGCTTATTCAGCATTTCAGCTTTCCCAAAACATCCGCGCCACTCCTCCTTTAAGACTGAACTCAAAACTAATTTGTTTACAGATTGGTTAACAGATTTTTTACTTTCATTATCAGATCCTTACTAATGTTGGCTATTGTCTTGTTTGTTATATGATCTCCGTCTGACTGCCTGTTCACTTTGTTGTTCCCTGATTGTACATCTGTATTATTTGAGTTATTTGTCAACTTTATGTAGTGTCCTTCTTGAAAGGTGCTATATAAATAAAACATATTATTATAGCACCTTTTGTTTACACACACACAATATTGATTTCCAGGTGAAAAAGGACAGCTTTTGCCTAACAGCAGCTCTTAAAAATCATCAGGATTTCTCTTGCCGCTGTACTCAGTGGTGTAGCCAGAGAATAACAGGGCACTTAATGGAAAAGGGACACTCATGGGCAGTGGGAGTGTGTAGACGACTGGCAGCACTGTAAAACCAACACATCTGTGTGTAATGATTGGGCTGGGCTCCACTGCACTGTTATGACAGACTAGCTTGGTTTAAACCAACATGTCAATCTCAAGCTTTTGAGCTTTAGACAAGGACAACACAGCAGTGTAGCCAAACTAGTGCCCTGTGTAATACATATCTGCGTGGTTTGTAAATGGACAAACAGTCATCGCCATTTTTGCCTTTTCACAATGTAACTTCACCTTCAATTCAAATGATGTATTGTGTTTGACTGCGTTTTGTGTTGAAATGATTATGTAAATTGCCAACTCTAACTCAAAGGCTAGTTTCATAGGTAGCATTTTATGCATCCTAAATGAATTGTAAAAAACATAGGATAAAATCTTAAAAATTCTTAATTTTTTTTTTTTAATTCTTAAAACATAAAAGCTTAAAAATGCTCTCTTTGTTGACATGAGTGTGTGCAATTTAAGCTGTAGAGCAAAATGTCCCAAGTATTGGCAAGTAATTTTTACCACCGACCTTGTTTTACTCATAAATTAAAAAAACCCATTATTACAGTTTTTTTCAATTGTTTACACACAATTTTGAAAACCGGGCTATTTTTTTCAAAATATAATCACAATTATCCAAACACCACACTGAATTTGCATAATTCCTAGATTGTTTGCAAAATGACACACTTCTGTCAAAACATACACACTTCAGTCAAAACATTATTTGTGAAAATACTATTAGTTTTCATTTAACATAACACAGTCCTCTAGGGATCGACCGATATGGATTTTTTAGTGCCGATACCGATACCGATTTTTTCCCCATCAGCCTTAGCCGATGACCGATACGGGCTGCCGATTTTCTTGAGCCGTTATTTGGAGCCGATACATTTTGCTCCCTCAATTTACATCATAAAAATGACATGATGTTAACAAATGTTACAGGTCTAAATTTAATAAAAGTAACATTTATTTAACGTAAAAAAATCTATATTTAACAAATAGTAAAAACATGTGAGGTAGAACAAGAACAAGTAGATAAACAATATTTAACAAATATTAAAAACATGAGGTAGAACAAAAAAAAGTTCACTGCTGAAAATAAATATTTAAGCATAAATAAAATAATTACACTATTGCACACAGTAGCAACCAGCATAATAAAGTGCACAGTGCACACTGTACTTCATTTTAAAAGTAACGAACTATTTACTGCCATGGTTTAAATTTGTCTACATAAAATAAAATGAGCATGTCTAGTCTCTAATATCACTGCGATGGCGAGGGAGACACACACCACACGCGTCCAAACCTCAGCCAGGTGGTCGCAAAAAGCACGGAACAACGTTGGTATTACTTAATCCTATGACCAGTGTTCGTAACAGCTACCGGACGCATACTAGGGCTGTCAAAATTGTTCAAATGGCGTTTGTATATTCCCTCTAAAAAACATATTTGAGCATATCGTCGTGCATTTGGTCAATGACGCGCATTACGTCAATAACAGGACAAATTAATACAAAGAGACATAACTAATAGTATTAAGTAGCTTATTTGAGTTTAAACATATTTGACAACGTATTACTACAAAAAAAAACGAGTAAATCAACTAATGGCCAAGACCGCAGAGCTCACTCTGGCTCGCCCGGACTCGCAGGCGCACTCTCTCTCTCTCTCTCTCGCACTCACCCTCACGCTCTCCGCGCATACCGGTTTAAATGAACAACAACAAACAAATGTTGAGTGCTGATCAAGAGTTTTGTGCAAGCAATTTAAGGTATATAGCAGGCTTCATTCAGTGATTGAAACAAATACATTAATTGAAGTTTCACAGTACATAGAACCGACACTGAGCGCTCCGAGTGAGCTGTGCTGTGGTAACGTTAGTCTGCTGCCGCGGGCGTGTTTTTCCACATTTCGAATATTAATTTTCACCTTCAAAATTCAGTTTTTTTTAAACTATTCGAATATATATTCGTATTTAGAATATTCATTGACAGCCCTAATGCATACTGAACGGATAGCCTACAGCTATTTGCAGCTCCCTAAATACAATGGCAAGCAAGCAGTTTTATAGACGAGTCATTCTCGTTTTCCATTTGGACCCACAAACTTGCTTAGCTATATAGTTGCAACCACATAACAGTTATAAAGCAACGTGTTTCCATTTTCAAAGTGTTTGACAATATTTCAGCAGTCAAACAGTTAAAAGATGCTTTGAAAGTTTAAAAGTACCGTTATCTTGAAGCGCAGGTTGCACTCTGCTAGTGGGGGAGGGACAGTGCAGGGTCTGCACGTGAACTGCAGCGTCTCCAGCAGCACAGAGCTGCCTGTGGACGCCTGTCTATAAATAATGCCGGGAAAAAACTATCGGCGAACGCAGCAGCCGCATATCGGCCGATTCCGATACACGTAAAAACCGCAAATATCGGCCCGATATATCGGCCGGCCGATATATCGGTCGATCACTACAGTCCTCAATGATCAGACACTATTGCAGACAGTTTCACACTGCTGTGATAAATAAAAAACACATTTGTAAAAAAACTAATTTTAGGAAATAGCATGTGCTAGATTTTTGGCCAGACATTGTTATGTAAGGGATAATTTAGATGAAAAAAATAGTGACAAACCCACAACATTCTTCATGATTAGTTTGAGATATAGGGAGAATGTACACAAATAGGCCTACTAACTTACCAAGCACTGCACAACACTGATGCTGCAATATTTCAAGTATTTATTTCAATACTTACAGTATTTCTAACCATAATCAGTTACAGTAATCAACCAACAATTAAATCAATGAAACAAATAAAATCTGTAGACAAATAAAAATTACTGCATAAAGTAGATACACTTTGACCCTGAAGACAAACTACTGTAAAAGCAACAAGAATACTGTAACTATTCATCATCTAACATTTGATTGGTTGATAACATGGTCAATAAGTGTTGCACGGATTTCTTGAGTCAAATTTGGTCCTCGTCTTCTTTGTTCAGGTTCTATCAACTCTTCAAGTCCTTCTTCACCTCTTCCTCTATCTCCTTCTCCTCTTCCTCTATCTCCTTCTCCTCTTCCTCTATCTCCTTCTTCTCATCTTCGATCTTCCTCTATCTCCTTCTTCTCCTCTTCCTCTAGCTGGGCCTCTTCCTCTATCTCCTTCTCCTCTTCCTCTATCTCCTTCTCCTCTTCCTCTATCTCCTTCTTCTCATCTTCGATCTCCTTCTTCTCCTCTTCCTCTATCTCCTTCTTCTCATCTTCGATCTTCCTCTACCTCCTTCATCTCCTCTTTGAGCTCCCCCTCTCATTCTCACTCTTCTTCTTCTTCTTCTTCTAGCTCCTTCCATTTTTGTTGAAGACAGGTGAACTCACCTGCTGCCTTTTATAGCACACCTGAGTGCTGCGTTTTCAAATTAGCACATGTGTGCTTCCACGCCTGGTGGATGTGTTTATCCAATTCGTCCATTAGTGTTGTCATTGGCAGTCCGGGGCTTTGTAATGACAAGGAAGTAACCTCGCAATCCTTATCTGTGTCTAAGGTGTGAAAATGTGTCTAGAGTTTTACAAATCACTGTGTGTAATGCTTTGCAAAAAGGGTGAAGCAGACATTGTGTGTAATGTTGTGCAAATCTGTGGAGGTGTTTTGCTCATTGGAGTAGAATTTTGCAAATTGTGTGGAAATTTTTATTTTAGTGTGTAAACAATTGAAAAAAACTGTAAAACCCATAGGAAAATCATTAATACAAGCATTAATAAACACAAATCTGGCTCTGTCTCCGTTTCCCGTGGGATATGGGATCAAGGATCTGTCCTTGGTCCACTTCTATTTCTAATCTATATGCTTCCTCTTGGTCAGATCATCCAGCGTCATGATCTAAATTTCCATCGTTACTCTGATGATACACAAATATATCTTACCTTTCAGCCAAATACTGTTTTACTCATAATAAAAAAAAAAAAAAAAAACATTATTTAAACCCATAGGAAAATCTCGAGGGAACCACTTGCGAATTATTCTTCCGGTTTTTGACATCATCCCTGCAGCACTATTGGAAATTATGCGCAATAAATATATTGATATTTACCTTGAATTTTTCTTTTGTCACTGACACTGTTGTGTCCTTGGTAACCAAGTACACTAAAAACTTAATTAGGTAGGTAGGAAATTGTTGGTCTGGCTTGAAATGATGCCAAAACTGAGAAACAAAGCATTATACGTAGTTTAATTTTTGAGTCTGTCTTTTGTTTTACCGAAACAGCATGAGCCGAAAGACTGAGCTCTTTCTAAAGCTTGAGGATTTCTTCTGGAGGGAACATCTGTCAGCTGAAGCCCTGCCCTATGGTATAAAAGGCAGCGGTATGTACAGCTTCTGTTGGCCCTCTCTGTTATAATCTGTCCTTTAATACAATGGTTAAATCTAGTGCAACGTCCTTAAGCGAATGCTTATGTTAAATCTGGCCTAAGTACAGTACATGATCACATAAATCTGGCTGCTGAAACCTTACAAACCCTTGAAACCTTTCAGTCAACCTAAAATAAAGAAGTTTGTTTGTTTTTTCTGCGGTCAGCATACTTTTACTGCAAAACGAGCATTCTGCATGCGATCCATTCATGTTGATACATTCATAATGGTGCACTTTGTTTCAAAGACTTTCTTCTTTCTCACTGCAGAGCTCCTGCTTCTGAAGGTCTTGGCAGTGATTTCCAGCTACACAATGCCAGCAAACATTGAGAGGTAAAGTACGGCTGAGCAGCTTTCACAAGTATCTAGAAAAACCATTCCTCAGATTCGCTCATTTGCTTTAGTTCCTTATGACATGCTGTGGTGTGGCATGAATTACCACACGTATTACAAATACATTACAACAATGTTCTTGGTCATGGTCAAAATTATCTTGGTTACCATAGGATAACCATTGAAAAGACGTAATGACTATTTGAGGGTTTTGTAAAAGGAGAAGTAAAACCCTGTTTTTTATATATCCAATATATTTCCTGCAGAATAGATACACGACACCAGCTGCTCTTTCTCTCTCTCTCTCATCTCTCTGACAGCAAGTTACACACAAACCTGCCTCTCCTTTCTCGCTCGTTTCATTTTCTCTGGATGAATATGGTTAGTGTTACAGGGCTTGAATTTCGACGTGGGATTGAGCGTATTTTGCATAGTTTAACTCAGTCCCGCAGATTTTGTGCTCACACCCAAAGTGCGCACACATAAAGCCGCCTCTAATTATTAACTTAAGTTCGTTTTCACGGCTTACTGCACTTAAACAGTCAAATACACACGAAATAATGTCAAAATGCTGGTTTTGGTGAGTAAAGAAAACAGTAGGTGCGTTCCGATTGACAGGGTCCCTACGCAGTGTTCACTAAGAATATATGTTAAAGTGGACTTCACTGACAATAATCGCTCATTTGGAAGAAAGGGAATGATTACAGAACATAAATGTTGTAATTTTACTTTCAGATTTCAAATCATTAACATTTGCATTTACATTTATGCATTTGGCAGACGCTTTTATCCAAAGCGACTTACATTGCATTTCAAGGTACACATTTACATTCTTATAAAATACATATACAAAAAAAAAAACATTTTGTATCTAATAAACATAATTAAAACATGTTTATTACATAGACTACTTGTATATTTAATTTACTATTGCAGCTATTAATTGACTATTAACAGATTTGAAGCTGTACTGTAACTGTCATTCAATATGAAAATAAATTTTGTTGTGTAAATGAGTTCTTAATCAATGTTCTTAATAGTTGTAGCAGTCTCACATCGTGCACTTTCTTTCCCATGCACAACTGCATAGTAAACATTCCTGAGGTAAATAAAGTCAAATAAAAAATGATGGCGCGCCTCAGCTGCTTTTCAACACTTTTACCTTGTTTACATAACTATTCATACAATAGTCAAGTCACCTTCATTTATATAGCGCTTTTAACAATATATATTGTTTCAAAGCAGCTTTACCGTGATACTACTGTAGGACATTAAAGTAACAGAGATTGTTTGGCTTTACAGCAGCTCTAGAATTAAGTTATTGTCCAGCTAAAGTTAGTGATTGATTCACTTCTGTTGCAAAGATCATTAGTCATTAAAGGATTAGTTCACCTCAAAATGAAAATTTCCTGATAATTTACTCACCCAAATGCCATCCAAGATGGTCACGTTTTTCTTTCTTCAGTGGAAAAGAAATTAAGTTTTTTAAAGGAAAACATTTCAGGATTTTTCTCCACACAATGGACTTCAATGGTAACCAAATTGTTGAAGTCCAAATCAATGCAGTTTCAAAGGGCTCTGCATGATCCCAGCTGAGGAATAGGGTCTTATCTAGCGAAACGATCAGTCATTTTCCAATTTTTTTTTAAACGTATATACTTTTTAAGCACAATTGTTCGTCTTGTGCTGGTTCGCGACGCGCCAGGCATTACGTCATAACGTTGAAAAGGTCACGCTGGATGTAGGCGGAAGTACCGCCCCATTGTTTTAGACATCCATGATACGCACACGAAAGGACCATTTTAAACAACTGACACAAAGACATAAATATGTCATTCAACATACAATAAAATTTGAACGATCCTCCTTCTCCACGCTTGTAAACAATGGGACGTCCAGCATGACCTTTCCAACGTGATTACGTAATGCCTGGCGCGTTGCGAACAAGTCAGTTATTTTTTAAGTGAACGTAAACAGTTGAGAAAGAAAATGCATGTGTAGCAGTATAACTGATCCGTGCGTCAGGTCTTAAAGTGACAGCAGCCTAATAAAGTGACCTGCCAAATTATGAGATAATATTAAAAATATCTACAGTATATGCCAGTTTTTCCCCTATGTCATCAATATCAAAATTGTGACCAGTAAAAATGCTGAGTGGCTTGTAACTTTGGAAAACCACAATCCACAGTGGCTGGTGAGCAAAAAAGTTAATGTCAAGCCCTGTATATATATTTCATTTCACTGACTATTTGTTGAAAAAGTAAAAATAAGTATAATTTTTTGTGTACCGTATTCATGGAAAGTGCCTTTTTTGTGTCAGCAGTTTAGATTGCAGGACATGTGCAGTCATTGGAAACGGCTTTTCCATAAAAAACACTTCACTGGGGGAGATCATTAACAAATACGACGTGGTGATCAGGTAAAAAAAACACCTCCTCCTCTCTTTGACCTCTTTCAGCGTTTCTATGACACTGCTTTCATTTACCATTTACTAGTCCTCATTCTTTAACAAAGTAATGTTTATATCCTCTTTTTTACATTTCAAGCTTTTTAGTTCATTTCCCTCCCCATCTCGTTTTCCATCTCCATCTATCCATTGAATATATTTTTCTTTCGGTCTACAGAGCGATAGCCTTTCCATTAGTCTGGCTTGTATTTTGCATTCTTGTTTTATTGTAAGTCTGTTGAGTGGCAAATAATAGGCTCAAAACCTCCTGCAATTAGAGCGCTGCTTGGCTACTGTTTCTCAACCTTTGCTTCTCAAGCCGATTTATAGCCTTGGAATGAACTAATGCCATTTTATTTCTTGTAAGCCTTTAACAAACGGCAGAATTTGGCTGAATGTATTTTTCCATGGTCTCCCCCTCCTCGCGTGTTCTCAGAAGCTAATCACGGCGGGGGAGGAGAGTCCAGCCGGTTGACATTTGGTGTCGAGTTACAAATCCTGATGCTACGAAGTCTCCATTAGTGAGCAGAACACCAGCTCCCCTCTAATCTCATTTGTGAGAAAGAGGCGGTTTTCCTACATGGATTCACTCCCATGAAAAATGAGTTGATAAGGATGTATTTGTAGTGTCTGTAAGGTTCACGAAGGAGTGGAGAGCAGGGAGAATTGAAACATTTTGGTTTTTAGCTGATTATGTCTCTATGCTGCTTTTATTTCATTTTTTTTAACACATTACAATTGCCTCCTTTGATATGCTAATGTGCTTTTGTTCCTAAATGATCCCTTCTCAAAAACAAGTGTGTATATTATACATTAATATTATATTATTGTATGAATTAATAACATATAATAATATAATATTAATGAAATAAAAGAGAATAAACTTTCAAAACACTTAAGTACACTTTTATAAAGTGCACTTTGCAATAATGGCAGAACAAAGTTTTACTTTAAAGTAAATTTTTAAAGAATCCTTTGTCATGCTAATACACTTGTGTTGATGTGTTGACTAACATACTAAAGCACAAGTAAAGCACTTGATTATAATTTTAACTGTATTGTGTTATTACATTTAAAGTTAATATATTTAAATGTACTTAATTGTAACTTCATTACAAATGTGTAATTGCAAATGTCTTTAAATACATGACATACAAGTTTCAATGAATTGACATTAAAATATATTTTAGTTTATTATAAATGCTTTTCAGCAGAACACTTTAACCATATTTGAAAGACAATAGAAATAATTATGAAATTACATATAAAGATGTACTAAAGTCCTACTTAAACTTAGTTAAACTAATTGCATTCAATATAAATTTTAACTACATTTTTATTTAATTATAAATAACATGCATTTGAGTGTCAGTAAAGATTACATTTAGTTCACACATTATTTCCATAATAAGAACTTTTTTTGTTTTAAGTTTTCACAAGGTGTGGCTCTTTCCAGTTTAGGAAATTCTTTTGAATGTTTAATCAACCCCTCCCTTCCCAAAAGGTGGATGTTTTGGCAGTGAATCCCCCACTGTGTTGCATTAATTTGTTTTCTCTTCTAGCTTGATGCTTTGCCTCAAGAATGTCTTGCTATTGAAGAATGTCGGCTATTGTAATCTAAACACAATTAGATTCACCTGGTCTGCAACATATTCATGGAGTGAAACACACACACACAGTTTATGCTGAGATTAATTGCAGCGTTAAAGTCCTATTTACAAGCTCGGAGGTCGTAATTATGCGCTGATGTACGAACAGATTTTGTCTGGAAAAAATAGATGTGTTAGGCAATTTCAACTTACTGCCAAATCAGGAAGCTTTTTTAGCACCAGTGTAGCAAAATCAATGGCAAATGGTGTAAATAAGGTCTGTAATTGTCTTTATTATGTATTTTAGCATTCTCTTGCTGCCATAGGGAATGACGGGAAATGCAATTTGGCTGCTCTAGCCTATCACCTCATAAATCGGGTAAATGAGTAGTGCTTTCTGGCAAGCTTTACCACTATTCCTCATCAACAGAGCACAAATTGTGTACAAACTACACTGCACAGTCAATATTTCACAAAACCAAGTTGTTTCTGCCATTATTTCTTAACCGACACATTCTCAACTCTGAAAATCGCATTAGAATTGCATTATTGTGGTCCATTGCATTGATATTATAGCCTACGCACACTTATTATCAATGCTTATTCCAACATGATTTGAGGTCAACATGTACAGTATACCCAGCTCTGATTTGCCTTTTGGCTTTAATATAAATGGCCTCATATCTTTGTGTGTCAGGCTGAATGACGCCCCAGTGAGAGGCCATGAGGAGGATGTGGGGAACAAGACCACTTTGCGTCTGTTTTATCCCGAATCCGCCTCCTATAATCCGGGTATCCACAATGACCCGGACACTCTGCTAGTCCTGGTTCCTTTCAAACTACAGGACCTCCGCTGGCTCAAAGAGATCCTATATGACGAGAAGAGGGTCAGTCCGTCTCACTTAGTTTTTTTTTTAAACCTGTGCCAGATTTCCCCCCGATTTCCCAGTAATCACGAGGAGCTGTTTTCTCTCTGTGCCGGATTTAGGTTCGAAAGGGTTTCTGGAAGCCTCCTCCCCAGATCTGGCTTGGCCGGACCAGTCAGATCCGTGTCCTGGACCCATATTTTCTCCGCCTAACAGCCAGCAAGCTTCTGCAAATTCCTTTGCAACCACGCCGACAACAGGTGAGATCTGCACACATGGCCAGGCTCCAGGGAATGTTAAACACTATGGAAACGCTCTTACTTTGGCAGAACAGATGTGGAAATAATTTCAGATATGGAAATTGTGGCACTTCCATATTTGATAGTAATGAAACAATTGTAATGAGACTCAAAAAGCATTGTAATGCATCATATATGGATTCTTGACATTAAGGTTTGCCTTAATGTGCCATGCTAATAAAAAATATTACAGAGAGGGTCCAGTCGGTTGAGATGTGGTGTATCCTGATACTTTCGAAGTCTCCATTAGTGAGCAGAACACCAGCTCCCGTCTAATCTCATTTGTGAGAAAGAGGCGGTTTTCCCCTCATGGATTCACTCCCATGAAAAATGACATGTTACATGTGGAGTTGATGAGGATGTGTTTGTAGTGTATCTAATGTTCATGAAGGGAGCATTGTAACACTTTTTTGTAACGGATGATTTTTGAAAGAAGTCTCTTAAGCTGCATTTATTTCTTCCAAAAATGTTAAACATTACAATTGTCTCCCTTAAAGGGATACTTCAGGATTTAGCATTAAGCTTTGTATTAGTAGAAAACCTGTAGTATTTTCGAATTACCTTATTTTCCACCCTCAAATCCTCCTGAGACGAGAGATTTGTGTATTTTTTGTCTGGAAAAAAAACTCCGATGACGCAAAAATCGTCATTTTGCGTCATTGGAGGATTTTTTGGCCAGAGGCTAAAGACTACAGTCAGTAGTAGGGGCTGTGCCGCATGTTCTCAACCCGCCCATAGAGGCTGGGATCTCACTCACAGAATGTACACATAGTGTCAGCCATCTTTTTTGGAAGCTTAGCTAAGCTAACAGGCTCTTGTTCTGTGGAGAAAGCTGAGTAGATAGGGGTTACCATCCTCTTTTTCCCGGACATGTCCGGCCGTCGATGTCCGGGATTCAGCTTTTGCTTTCTGCAGTCGCCATTCATTGTTTACACGAACACCTTTTGTTTCAATCTAACTGAATTCATTCCGATTGGTGAATCTGAATGTAGTGTTTACATGAACGCTAAACAAGTGATCAGTTGATGTGCGTTTTAACATTGCTAAGAAAATTCCCGCTCCTCCGTGAAAGATACGAGACCGGTGCGTCTCAGAGGTGTCACTCATCGGTAATCACGCCACCGGCCTCGCGCCGTTCTCCCGCGGCCCTCACTCGTCCTGCTCGCCACAGTAAACATGACTCGTGTCGTTCTCCCGCGGCCCTCACTCGTCCTGCTCGCCACAGTAAACATGACTCGTGTCGTTCTCCCGCGGCCCTCACTCGTCCTGCTCGCCACAGTAAACATGACCCGTGTCGTTCTCCCGCGGCCCTCACTCGTCCTGCTCGCCACAGTAAACATGACTCGCGTCGTTCTCCCGCGGCCCTCACTCGTCCTGCTCGCCACAGTAAACATGACTCGCGTCGTTCTCCAGCGGCCCTCACTCGTCCTGCTCGCCACAGTAAACATGACTCGTGTCGTTCTCCCGCGGCCCTCACTCGTCCTGCTCGCCACAGTAAACATGACTCGCGTCGTTCTCCCGCGGCCCTCACTCGTCCTGCTCGCCACAGTAAACATGACTCGTGTCGTTCTCCCGCGGCCCTCACTCGTCCTGCTCGCCACAGTAAACATGACTCGTGTCGTTCTCCCGCGGCCCTCACTCGTCCTGCTCGCCACAGTAAACATGACTCGCGTCGTTCTCCCGCGGCCCTCAGTCTCGTCCTGCTCGCCACAGTAAACATGACTCGTGTCGTTCTCCCGCGGCCCTCACTCGTCCTGCTCGCCACAGTAAACATGACTCGTGTCGTTCTCCCGCGGCCCTCAGTCTCGTCCTGCTCGCCACAGTAAACATGACTCGCGTCGTTCTCCCGCGGCCCTCAGTCTCGTCCTGCTCGCCACAGTAAACATGACTCGTGCCGTTCTCCCGGGGCCCTCACTCGTCCTGCTCGCCACAGTAAACATGACTCGTGTCGTTCTCCCGCGGCCCTCACTCGTCCTGCTTGCCACAGTAAACATGACTCGTGTCGTTTTCCCGCGGCCCTCACTCGTCCTGCTCGCCACAGTAAACATGACTCGTGTCGTTCTCCCGCGGCCCTCACTCGTCCTGCTCGCCACAGTAAACATGACTCGTGCCATTCTCCCGCGGCCCTCACTCGTCCTGCTCGCCACAGTAAACATGACTCGTGCCGTTCTCCCGCGGCCCTCACTCGTCCTGCTCGCCACAGTAAACATGACTCGTGCCGTTCTCCCGCGGCCCTCACTCGTCCTGCTCGCCACAGTAAACATGACTCGTGTCGTTCTCCCGCGGCCCTCACTCGTTCTGCTCGCCACAGTAAACATGACTCGTGCCTTTCTCCCGCGGCCCTCACTCGTCCTGCTCGCCACAGTAAACATGACTCGTGCCGTTCTCCCGCGGCCCTCACTCGTCCTGCTCGCCACAGTAAACATGACTCGTGTCGTTCTCCCGCGGCCCTCACTCGTCCTGCTCGCCACAGTAAACATGACTCGCGCCGTTCTCCCGCGGCCCTCACTCGTCCTCCTCGCCACAGTAAACATGACTCGTGTCGTTCTCCCGCGGCCCTCGCCTCGTCCTGCTCGCCACAGTAAACATGACTCGTGTCGTTCTCCCGCGGCCCTCACTCGTCCTGCTCGCCACAGTAAACATGACTCGTGTCGTTCTCCCGCGGCCCTCGCTTCGTCCTGCTCGCCACAGTAAACATGACTCGTGTCGTTCTCCCGCGGCCCTCACTCGTCATTGCTCGCCACAGTAAACATGACTCGTGTCGTTCTCCCGCGGCCCTCACTCGTCCTGCTCGCCACAGTAAACATGACTCGTGTCGTTCTCCCGCGGCCCTCACTCGTCCTGCTCGCCACAGTAAACATGACTCGCGTCGTTCTCCCGCGGCCCTCACTCGTCCTGCTCGCCACAGTAAACATGACTCGTGTCGTTCTCCTGCGGCCCTCACTCGTCCTGCTCGCCACAGTAAACATGACTCGTGTCGTTCTCCCGCGTCCCTCACTCGTCCTGTTCGCCAAAGTAAACATGACTCGTGTCGTTCTCCCGCGGCCCTCACTCGTCCTGTTCGCCACAGTAAACATGACTCGTGTCGTTCTCCCGCGGCCCTCACTCGTCCTGCTCGCCACAGTAAACATGACTCGTGTCGTTCTCCCGCGGCCCTCACTCGTCCTGCTCGCCACAGTAAACATGACTCGTGCCGTTCTCCCGCGGCCCTCACTCGTCCTGCTCGCCACAGTAAACATGACTCGTGTCGTTCTCCCGCGGCCCTCACTCGTCCTGCTCGCCACAGTAAACATGACTCGTGTCGTTCTCCCGCGGCCCTCACTCGTCCTGCTCGCCACAGTAAACATGACTCGTGTCGTTCTCCCGGGGCCCTCACTCGTCCTGCTCGCCACAGTAAACATGACTCGTGTCGTTCTCCCGCGGCCCTCACTCGTCCTGCTCGCCACAGTAAACATGACTCGCGCCGTTCTCCCGCGGCCCTCACTCGTCCTGCTCGCCACAGTAAACATGACTCGCGTCGTTCTCCCGCGGCCCTCACTCGTCCTGCTCGCCACAGTAAACATGACTCGTGCCGTTCTCCCGCGGCCCTCACTCGTCCTGCTCGCCACAGTAAACATGACTCGTGTCGTTCTCCCGCGGCCCTCACTCGTCCTGCTCGCCACAGTAAACATGACTCGCGGCGTTCTCCCGCGGCCCTCACTCGTCCTGCTCGCCACAGTAAACATGACTCGCGCCGTTCTCCCGCGGTCCTCACTCGTCCTGCTCGCCACAGTAAACATGACTCGCGTCGTTCTCCCGCGGCCCTCACTCGTCCTGCTCGCCACAGTAAACATGACTCGCGTCGTTCTCCCGCGGCCCTCACTCGTCCTGCTCGCCACAGTAAACATGACTCGCGCCGTTCTCCCGCGGCCCTCACTCGTCCTGCTCGCCACAGTAAACATGACTCGTGTCGTTCTCCCGCGGCCCTCGCCTCGTCCTGCTCGCCACAGTAAACATGACTCGTGCCGTTCTCCCGCGGCCCTCACTCGCCCTGCTCGCCACAGTAAACAAGACTCGCGGCGTTCTCCCGCGGCCCTCACTCGTCCTGCTCGCCACAGTAAACATGACTCGCGCCGTTCTCCCGCGGCCCTCACTCGTCCTGCTCGCCACAGTAAACATGACTCGTGTCGTTCTCCCGCGGCCCTCACTCGTCCTGCTCGCCACAGTAAACATGACTCGTGCCGTTCTCCCGCGGCCCTCACTCGTCCTGCTCGCCACAGTAAACATGACTCGTGCCGTTCTCCCGCGGCCCTCACTCGTCCTGCTCGCCACAGTAAACATGACTCGCGTCGTTCTCCCGCGGCCCTCACTCGTCCTGCTCGCCACAGTAAACATGACTCGTGCCGTTCTCCCGCGGCCCTCACTCGTCCTGCTCGCCACAGTAAACATGACTCGCGGCGTTCTCCCGCGGCCCTCACTCGTCCTGCTCGTCACAGTAAACATGACTCGCGTCGTTCTCCCGCGGCCCTCACTCGTCCTGCTCGCCACAGTAAACATGACTCGTGCCGTTCTCCCGCGGCCCTCACTCGTCCTGCTCGCCACAGTAAACATGACTCGTGCCGTTCTCCCGCGGCCCTCACTCGTCCTGCTCGCCACAGTAAACATGACTCGTGTCGTTCTCCCGCGGCCCTCACTCGTCCTGCTCGCCACAGTAAACATGACTCGCGTCGTTCTCCCGCGGCCCTCACTCGTTCTGCTCGCCACAGTAAACATGACTCGCGTCGTTCTCCCGCGGCCCTCACTCGTCCTGCTTGCCACAGTAAACATGACTCGTGTCGTTCTCCCGCGGCCCTCACTCGTCCTGCTCGCCACAGTAAACATGACTCGTGTCGTTCTCCCGCGGCCCTCACTCGTCCTGCTCGCCACAGTAAACATGACTCGTGCCGTTCTCCCGCGGCCCTTACTCGTCCTGCTCGCCACAGTAAACATGACTCGTGCCGTTCTCCCGCGGCCCTTACTCGTCCTGCTCGCCACAGTAAACATGATGAATGGCGACTGTAGAACGCAAAAGCCGAATCCCGGACATTTTGGGCGATCTCGAAACACATTTTCGGGCAGATTCATCACGGAGACTCACTAGTAGCCTAGGCTTGTTGTTTAACTACTGCGTTCTGTTACCGGTAGGCGTGGCCTCCTAGGGCAGCAAAGCAAGTGCATTCTGGGAGTTGTTGTCTTTCATCCACATAAGCCAAAAATACATTTTCTGGCTTTTCTCAGTCTAGAAAGCTCCAAATTCAAAAATAATTTCACATTTCTTCTAAAAATATGACCCATTTTAAATACACATTCATCTTTCCAGAGGTGAAGTATCCCTTTAAATGACCCATGCACTGAGAAATCACATTTTCCTTGAGGTTTTTGACATATAAGAGGTCATCATATTATACGAATATCCTGAAAGTTTCTGAACTGAAAACTTCCTTGTTTTTCCAAAATCAGCTTTTATTGTTACCAGGCCCAGCGAACGACTCGTTCATGAATGTGCCTCTTTATGACGTAATAAGGTAGTGATAGACCGCCTCTGCAGAAGAAAATCAACTTCGCTTGATCGCCCACTGGCGTTAGTGAGATGAGGAAGAGAGAAGAGCACAGGGTCACTCACTGGACTAAAAATAACATTATCTTCAGGAGGATCCTAATGCTAGGATTAGGAATGTGGATATTTATTTTCAACAATGTGAATGTCTCATTATTGAACATTATTTATTCGTATTCGGCACATTTCACTGGATTCTTTGGTAAATCAGTCCCCAAAGAAGCGCAGGCTTTTACAAAATGGACTCGACAGTAATGTCACATGTTCATTCTAATGCCTGATCTGTGACCAGTGATTTCTGATGTAATGACTCATGTGGCTACAATCAGATGTTCTTTATCCTGTCAGTAAATCAAACCAGGGACTAAACGGTCAACTTCACATTGTTTTTCTTAGTAGGGTATAAACAATCTGTATCTGTTAATATTATATATCTGTTAATAATCTCCGTTTACAAAAGCTGTAGCTGTCAATCAAACAGCTCGTGTTTGTCACTGAGTTCTGGACTAGCGCCTAAACTCCCGTAATAATCAACGAATCTCTTATTTACATTGTGTTTGCACTGTTAGTTATGATGATCGTTAGTGTGTAGAAATCGAGTTGCAATGACGAGATGTCTGTGATCGGCTTTGTCATCCGTCAGGCTAAAGAGTGAAAAGAACAGCATTTATTTGAAACAGAAATCTTCTATGACAGAATAAATGTCTAAACAGTCCCTTTTGATTAATTTAATGCATCCTTGCTGAATAATAGTCAATTCCTTTAAAACAAACTCACAAATCTTGAATTGTAGTGTATGTCTTTGCTTTTGGTTTGCAGTAGGGAAGGTCAGACTATCATTCTTACAGATCGACTTGTTGATGCTATGCTGTCTCTAATAAAATTACTTGCCAATTGGCAAACGTTTACCTCACCAGAGTCAAGTTTCACTCTCATGTGTTAATTTTGGATTCTGCTTGTTTTTGTTTTGTGACAGCCAAGATATTTGTTATTGTGAAATGTTTGTATGGTCAATAATCTGTAGTCGGAGACCTCAAGTATCCTGGTACAGCCACAGAGATTTACAAAGAATTATTATAAGAAATGCGTCCGTTTATTTCTGGAACATGTTATCGTAGGCTAGTAATCGAAGTTATCAAGGCTCAATGCTTTGTACCTCGTCCCAACCAAACTCTTCTCTCTCTCTCTTCTTTATCTCTACCTCTCTCTCTCTCTATAGTTTTAAACTTAGCACAGTATCAGTCAGGCTTAGAAAAACAAACTCCTCTCTGTGTACTTTTGTATTTTTTGGAGGCACATCCCTCTACATATTTCTGTCAGGCGGCAATTTATTGAGCTTGTTTGGAGGGCTGTGGTTGGCCAGACACCGCAGACACACTTCTTTATATTCCTCGGGCTGCTTAAGAAGGTTGTCCTCCCGTGTTCCTCGCTGACAGGGACCCCTGCTAACTCTGGGCCGACAGCCAGAATCACAGAGACATCATGCTTGAGAGGGTGGCAAACAGAGCCGTACTCTGTCAGTAAACATGGGGGAAACACACGTGCACATCCACGCTCGCTTCTGGAGCTATTGGTAAAAAAAACAGACTGAAACAGAGAGGGATGTTTTTAGTCAAACATCAACTTACTGCTGGCCAAACTAGTTCTTAACCTGGACGCACCAACACACTGCACAGTCTACTCTCATCTTTTGTGTCGAGAGAGAGAGAGAGAGAGAGAGAGAGAGAGAGAGAGAGAGAGAGAGAGAGAGAGAGAGAGAGAGAGAGAGAGAGAGAGAGAGAGAGAGAGAGAGAGAGAGAGAGAGAGAGAGAGAGAGAGAGAGAGAGGAGGGTCAATAAGGGTCTTTAAAGGGTCAATTTAGTTTTATGGTAGGTGTCTATTTTATGATTAATTCAAAATGTTTTAATTATCTAGAATGCAATCGAGCCCTGTTATTATTATTAATATTATAATTCAATCCATTGTCCAAACCACTTATCCTCTGTAGGGTCATGGGTATTATTATTATTATTACCATTTACAAGGCACACAACTTATTATTTACAGGGCACAAAAACAGTATTTGGACACTTAAAAAATTTACCGAGTGATGCTAGTCCAGTCCTGATTCTAGTTTAATTCTAATTCTAATCCTAATTAGTTTTGAGCCATTTTGAGTTTTAATCAACTGTTGTTTTGGTAATATATAGTAGATGTAGTTATAGTTCTAGTTCATGACAGTAGTTCATCTGTGAACATATTCTACTACCATTTGACAAGCAAAATTCTGTCTTTAATGTTGAATACATATATTGTTTTATCATTTGAATCTTATCAAGCTTGATATTTGTAAATGTTCTATATGAGTAACACAGAGCACAGTGGCAAATGTTTACAGCCCCATTCGGAAAGGAAAGACCATTAACAAGAAGAAGAAAGTAGGAAGTCTCTTGTTTTAATTTGAGCATGGTGTGAAAATGGTGACCCTGTTGTTGAAATGGAGGCTGAGATTCGCATCTTTGAGGAGATGTATACGTATGAAGGTAAATTAGTAGCAAAACTCGAGAGCACGTAGATGTGATTTTGAGAACTTGTACAATAAATATTCGTACGTGTACGCGAGCATTTACACTCACAGCTCCGATGTGAAAACCTGTAAAATAAAAATCTGAACTTGAACGCTGAGATGTGCACTCGCAGACTATAGTCACAAAGCTGTATTCTGAATTTGAAGCTGCAGACAAGCAGTCACAAATGTGTAAAATGCCATTCACAAAGATACAACGACAGACATAAACTTGTAATACAAATTTGCACTTCTTCTAACATTCAAATTCGCAGTACAACCTCAAATTGGCACTTGCAACTTCTCAAATCTGTCACTGCAAGTTAAAATTTCACGCCTTGACTTTTGCTACTCTTTTCGCGATATATGAGGTGCAAAACTGACTTGTGCACTTGCAACTCAGTAGTGGCGAGAGAGAAAAGGGGGCGGGAGCGGGGGTGTTCAAAGGAGCCGTTTTATTGGTTGGCGCCTAGCCAATGAAATGGGACTTCTATTGTACGCGATGATGTCACGAAACCCGCCTCCTCGTGGATGTTCTGAAACGCTAACATGGCTTAATGCATGTTGTACTGCGAATTTGAATGTTAGAAGAAGTGCAAATATATTTGACATGTTTGTGACTGTCATTGTATTTCTGTGAATGGCATTTTACACATTTGTGACTGCTTGTCTGCAGCTTCAGATTCAGAATACAGGTTTGTGACAATAGTCTGCGAGTGCAAATTTCAACATTCAACTTCAGATTTTTATTTGACAGGTTTTCACATCGGAGCTGTGAGGGTAAATGTTCGCGTACACGTACGAATATTTATTGTACAAGTTCTCAAATGCACATCTGAGTATTGCTACTCTTTTACCTTCATATATACAAGTGTGTTTAGAGAGGATACTTTGTGTGGGACTGAACGGATCAGTAGCTGCGGAAATCATGGAGCAATGCGGAAAAGCTAATGACTTGGAAAAAGAGAGAAAGATGCAACTTAAGCAGTCAGGGCTGGAAAAAGCCAAGATGCATTACTTCCCATTACTTTCCATAGCGTTCCACTGAGCAGAAATTCTCCAACATACAAAAGGTGATTTCTGGCAAAAATTCACAGCGAATACATTTTAAGTGGTTATTGCATTGTTTTTATTGCAGCTTAGGTGTGTGTTCAACGTACGTATGTCCTATTAAGGTTTGTGCAGGACATATCATAGAGCTCATTCTTTTTTCAAAAATAGCCATTATGTCAGGTTTCTTGCAGGTGGACCTTAGTGGAGAGACCGCATTTGATTGGACTTATTTGCATAGAAAAAAGTTAATAAAATCGGTTATAGATTCATATGATGACTTGGGCTAAAATCCCAGTGTTTAAGCATTCATAGGAAAGTTAAAGCTGTGTTCAGCCGCCCCCTGCAGGAGGACACACACTATTAAACAGACGTCATCTAAACTGCACTTCCTCTGTGTCTCCGTCAGAAACCAATCCATCCCACCACTGGTATTCTGGCAGTGTTTGTGGCATTAAACTACTGTGACGTTGTGCACGTCGCTGGATTCGGATATCCAGAGTCCCGAAACCAGAAACAGCCCATACACTATTATGGAAAAGAAACAATGAAGTCCATGAAGGTTGGTTTTTGTAATAATAAAAACTGGGCTTTATTTCGATAGTCCACTTCAGACACTCCACTACATGTCAACTAACTCTCATTCGAGTATTAGTAGAGTTTTTGCTTAATATCTGCTAACACTTTATCGTGATGCTCCTCAACAGATATTCAACCGACTATAAGTAACTTTGCAAATTCATGTCAACTTATTAGAGTATTAGTGGACTGTTAGGGTTCAGGTTAGCGGAATAAGTTGACACGTAGTTGCAAAGTTACTTATAGTCAGCTGAATGTCTGTTGAGGAGCATCATAATAAACTGTTAGCAGATATTAAGCATCAGTCTACTAATACTCGATGACTGCTAGTTGACATGTAGTTTCAAAGCTGCTATAGTGGACATTCGAAAAAAAGTGTTACCAATTAATTAAAACAAATTGATGAATTAAACCTAATTCTATAAAATGATCCCATGATCTGCCTGACAGAACCCTTTTATATTGAACCGTTTCTTCTAAGACTGTGTAACATTGCTTTGCTTTACCCTATATTTACCCTATATTTACTGGATGTCCTTGTTGTTTCAGAATTCCTACCATGATCTCAACCAAGAGGGTCAAGTCCTTAAGAGACTGGAAGACCAGGGCGCCATTTTATATCTTCATCCTCATTCTTGACACCCAACATGAGCACACACGTAAAAACATACATGAGTGCATGTAAATACAACACTACAATATCCTCATCTTCGGACTTCACACAAGCCTGACTTATTTCCAGCTCTCACCCTGCATTTCTATGTGATTTCCACATTTTTGTCAGAATGTTTTTATTTGATTTTTTGATTTTTTTAAAAAAATATCACCACTAGATATTTTGTGAACCTCATTAGTATTTAATAAAATAAAATCTTGTTTTTCATTGGCAATATTTAATGGAGAATAAATGGAGACTTATATGACTCCTGCTTCTTGTTTCTCCTTAGAAAAAGATCCTAGTGGTCTCCCATGTGTCTCCTATATCTTAAATGTAACACTTATGGACTCACTTAGAAGATATCAGCTAAACTTTTAAAGTGAGCCTCTTTAATTTTGTGATTAATCGGATGTTTCAATTTAGAGATTCTATATTTAAGATATGATTTTTGGTAACACTTTATTTTACAGTGACCTTGTTACATATGTTACATGTACTTACCATAGTAATAACAGTAAAGTATGCATAATTACATGCAACTAACCCTCAACCAAACCCTTACCCTATAGTAAGTACATGTAGTTAATTAACATTACACTGTAACAATGACATCTTAAAATAAAGTGTAACCCAATTTTTGAGCATAAGTGATTGTGAAGTCATCACCCGAATATCTGTAGCAATACCTCGCACAGCCTGAAGAGGGCGATTCATCTACACGACAGTGTGAGCGAGCTCTGTTTACAGGGAGAGTGAAACACGAGTCTAAATGCTTGCACTGAAGCACATCACATGTACATGATGGCCGTATGTTCACGTTCTGCTTTATGGATATTGTTTCTATTTGAAGTGGGGGGAGCTGCCTTTTTTTTGAGTCATATTCATTACTCAGAGCTTCGCAGAGGAAGGAACATCTGGAGATTTGTCAGTGCCCGAAGAATACACTGCCAGATTGCAAGGCCTCATTTGGACTCGGCAGCCCAATACAGCAAGCAATACCTAGTGAGAGGTGAACTTTTGGTGTCGTTCAAATGAGTGATGCAAACCATGCACCAACGGCTTTCATAAATCAGACCCATAATTGCAGGTTGCATATGAAGTCATCACATGTACACACCAGAAACAAAGACTGTTCTAGAAGTTAAGACTCTTACCTGCTATTTGCTGACAGGCAATCTCACAATAGATTGCGCAGTTCCGTGGATAAATGCATCCAAAATGGTGGACAAAGTGGGATAATAATGATAAATATACTATTTCATGCAATGTTGTATAGACAAAGAAATAGTCAGTACAATATTAAAGATGATATTTATACAAAATATTTGTGTGTGATGTTTGCTTTTATGCTTCTTAGAACTACACCGTTAGCTTAGCAACATGCTAACATGTCCTAGCAATGTCCGTTTGTTATGAAATCATTTGAATCAGATCTGTTCAATCACAGACCTTATGTATCCCTGCCCCTTTTTAGCACTGCACTTTTTGAGTTCTGTCTTCTGTTTCGTATTTCCACAGCATGAAGGGAAGATCTTACGGATTTCTGAATGAACCGCTTGTTTTATAAACTTCACAGTCTACTGACATTTGTTATGACATCTGCTTTAAATATTACAATGCTCATGGTAACTTTCAGTAACTCTACAATAAGTAAATCCACTTCACCATGCAGATAAATGCTCTTTGACATAGAGCATTTGCTACCGCAAAAACGGAAGTTCAAAGACACATTTCTAAACATGTCTGATCGCGTGTTTCTCTGGCACATTAGGTCTATAGGTAGATGCTACATCCGACCGCTCCAGACACGTCGCCGGTCAGCGTGTCGTCACTCGCAGGAAGACTGTGTCTGAAATCGTCCCCTATAGCCTACCCTTAAATAGAGCACTATTTGAGGGAACAGCCATTTGTAGTGGTGTCTGAAACCATAGTGGACGTTACCGAGTGCACTCAATCAATCCCACAATGCAAAGCAATAACAAGTTTACAATCAACGGCTAGAGAATACCCATAATGCACTGTGAGAGTTAATTCCCGCGTCTGACCAGAAGATGGCGCCCGCAGCTAAATTATCCATCCATTTTCCAAACCGCTGGTCCAATGTGGCTACAGCGTAATATCATACAGGTATACATTCCTTTTTAACTGATTATTCAGTTGTTTAATTGAGGTTTATTCATAGATTCCATGACAGAGTTATTAATCTTTTCATCTTACTACTGGAGCTGCAAGTTTTAAATGAGTATTTATTACCCAGACAGCAACATAGTGTCGGCCCAGATCCGGCCCACATCTGGTACGTGTGGATTCCATGTGTACCGGATCTGGGCCGACACTATGTTGCTGTCTGGGTAAACAGCAAGCACAAACTATGCAAAAGCGGCAGCACTTCATGCGCACTCACTCACTCGTTTTCATTCACTCCTTCAAGTGGATTATATTCGTGGACTAATGTGAATGAGAGTATAGCGGGTGATTTCGAAGACTCAATGCTACAACATTGCGCAGCTTAGTTGTGAAACCTGCCGAGATTTAAATTCCCGAAGAAATGGGATACCCTCTCACAGGTGAGAATGTGTTGGTTTGTGTTTTTATGTATTAACTCAATACAACTCTGGTTTTAACTATGCTTTTTAATGTTTTCACTTTTACTATGGTAGCTGTTTAATGTTGTGTTAGCTGACGCTTAAGTCTTTTGTAGATTTAGATATTCATACATGCGTCTAAGTATGGTTGTAGATGCTCAGTTAACTTGCTCTCGAAATGTTCACGGACCGGCTTTGACCGTTCCAGTATGGCGGACTGCTTAAAGGATAATTCCGGTATTTAGCACTTTAAGTCTATTTTCTAGTTTGTTTTGGATGAACTAGAGTGGTGGACTTAGAAATGTTGACGATGGGTCCTGTCTCGACTTTTTGACTATTTTAGAATCGCCTCTGAGCGCTTCAGAGTGGCTGTCTATGGGCATGCTCAAACATGTCCTTAAAACAACCCTTAACGTTCGTTTTCAAAACTATGCAACTCACCGAGTGGTTAGTGGTGTTCGTTCAGCGCAGTCTCATCCCAAGACGTCATATAACTGACGTCTTGGGACGTCTTTTGACCATACGTCAATATCCGCCTTTTTAGGGTACCCTTAAACGTCGGTTAGATGACGTTATCGGATCCTAACTCTACCCCAGACCTAAACCTACCCCTAAACCTACCCCGTCACCTAACTGACGTTAAAGGTAAAGCGTCAGTTGTATGACGTCCCAGGATCGTCATAAACCAACGTTTAAGGGTACCCTAAAAAGGCGGATATTGACGTATGGTCAAAAGACGTCCCAAGACGTCAGTTATATGACTTCTTGGGATGAGACTGTGTTGGTTCGTTGATGATTAAAAACAAGTAGCATAGCGAAATACAGTTTCTGTCGTGTTTTTATTTGGTATTTTGTAAAATCGCATTGATGTCTGCTGGAGGATATTACTGCGCTACCGGAAACGGAAAGGGGTCTGTTTACATTTGGTTGTAGTCTTTTCGCTCGGTTCTCCGTCTCTCAGAAGGCTAGCGTGAGCTGAGCAACTGCGGCAAAGTGGTTGTCGCCATCAAGTGGTCGGGAGTGTGCTAACGCTTCAGACTCAAATATCGAGCGGAAGTTTATACGCGGTTGTGAGGTATCTGAAAAAATAGTTCCACTATAGCAAATAACACGGATTGAAAGCATACATTGCGCCGATATATTTGTTTTTAATCATCAACGAACACCACTAACCACTCGGTGAGTTGCACAGTTTTGAAAACGAACGTTAAGAGTTGTTTTAAGGACATGTTTGAGCATGCTCATAGACAGCCACTCTGAAGCGGTCAGAGGCGATCCTATAAGAGTCAAAAAGTCGAGACAGGACCCATCGTCAACATTTCTGTGTCCACCACTCTAGTTCATCCAAAACAAACTAGAAAATAGACTCAAAGTGCTAAATAGGCCTACCGGAATTATCCTTTAATGAATATTAAATTCTATGTCCCATAGAGAAACCACTAATTAAGTATAGATGTATCTATGTGTTAAAATAATCTAGTAAAAACATTGAAATTATTAGTTTACACACTGGACTAAATTATACTTTCACAAATCAGGCTTTTTTTGACGGAGATCTGCCTCCTTTGGACATTTCCAACAGTAATGTTCCATCGATTCACTGAACCACCAGTTTCAAAGTTTTAATGTCCGAGAACCCCCTCGTGAAAACATAAGTGTACTTAATTGTATTGAATGTGCACTCGCCGTGTACTTCAAATCTTAAAAGTATATTTTTAAATTCTAGGCTACTTGCATTTACTACAAGATTAATGAACAAGGTAAGCCTACACTTTAATCATATTTCAAAGACAATATAATTATGAAATTACTGTACATATAAAGATGTTAAGTTCTAGAAACACTCAATATGCATTTAAACTTTAATCAAATTTCTTTTCATTGTAAATAACACCCAATTAAGCATTTCTGAATACTTTCAGTTTATAAGTAATTCATTAAAGCAACACCAAGTAACTTTTCCTCTGCTGTCGCCCTACAGGTTGGAAGCGGAATTGTCCATTACCGCTGTCGTAAATAATTTAGCCTAGCGCATCATACTGTCGCACGCACGCTCGCTGTTTATCCAGCGCCGGCTTTGGAATCAACAATGGCCACAGACAAGGTAGAGTATGATGCATGATTTTATGAAAGTGTTGTTGTAGTCTACTTGTCGAGTACGCTCCACCTATCGGCAATCGTAACGCTTGCCGTAAAGCAAGTCAAATTCGCACTACAGAAACGTGACCCGATCTGGCAATCTTACATATCGTGGATATATCAGATAAATGGCATAAGTGCATTTCACCATGTCACGACTCGATGAACCAGAGCTGGTGTGTGTAATTGTAAGGACTATTATTAAGATGCACATGTTATTCTTCAGCCCTTTTGTCATCAAGTTCTTCTCCACGTTCTCCTATATTTGAGTTCTGTGCAGACAGAAATTGCAGCTGCAGCTTCTCTCTGTAGGGAAGGATGGCCACTTGTGATTGTGAAGTAGTTAAGGGCACAACAGAGTTATTCAAGTGCGTCACTGGCCCTCT